TAACAACAACAAAAAGACTAACAGTACCAAGTGCTTGCAATGATGAGGAGGAATGAAACTCTCATACATTAGTAGTACAAGCACTTTGGAAAACAGATTGACAGTTTCTCAGGTTAACCATATATTTAACTCCTAGGATTGATATAATACAGTAACTTGAATCTACTTTCTAAGACAAGGGTTAGCTAACTGTGCTCCAGGAACCAAATCTGGTCCACCGCCTGTTTTAGTATGGCTCATGAGCTAAAAATGGTTGTTACATTTTTAAAGGGTTTTTAAACACACACGCACACACACACACACACACACACACACACACACACACCCCACACACACACACAAAGAAGAAGACTGTATGTATGTGACCTGAAAAGCCTAAAATATTTACTATCTGGGCCTTTACAGAAAAAGTTTGCCAACCCTGTTGAAAGTCAGAGGCTTTTGAACTTTTTGGGTCATAATCCAGAGGAATACATTATGAATCCACCCCAATATTTTCATCTATCTATCTACCTACCTATCAGTCAGTCTTCTACTGACGACTGAAATAAAAATTTCACAAAATAGTAACCCTTACTGCCACTTAAGTTGCAACTTTCTGTTCTCTTATTTCCTTCTTTTTCTTATCCTATTTCATTATTTAAATAAAATTCTGAACATAACCCATGAAATTCTTTTTTTAAAATAAATTTATTTTATTTATTTATTATTTTTGGGTCTTTGTTGCTGAGCACTGGCTTTCTCTAGTTGCAGCGAGCAGGAGCTACTCTTCGTTGCGTTGCGTGGGCTTCTCATTGCGGTGGCTTCTCGTTGCGGAGCACGGGCTCTAGAGCGCAGGCTCAGTAGTTGTGGTGCACGGGCTTAGTTACTCTGTGGCATGTGGGATCTTCCCGGACCAGGGCTCGAACCCGTGTCCCCTGCATTGGCAGGAGGATTCTTAACCACTGCGCCACCAGGGAAGCCCAATTCTTTTAATAAATAATTACTAAAGGGCTTCCCTGGTGGCGCAGTGGTTGAGAGTCCACCTGCCGATGCAGGGGACACGGGTTCGTGCCCCGGTCCGGGAAGATCCCACATGCCACGGAGCGGCTGGGCCCGTGAGCCATAGCCGCTGAGCCTGCGCGTTCGGAGCCTGTGCTCCGCAACGGGAGAGGCCACAACAGTGAGAGGCCCACATACCGCAAAAATAAATAAATAAATTAATTAATTAATAATAATAATAATTACTAAAGAGTCACAACCCACCATTTGAAAAACATAACATTAAAATCAACTTAAATGTGTCTCCTACTTAGAATAGTCTTAGCTTGTGAGCCAGTCCAAATGAAATGTTGAGTTTGTTTTTCACTTTAGAGCCTTTGTCTCCAGCTCAAAGGAGACCTTGTTTCTGTTCCCCTTTCTCTGATAAACTCCCCCTTTAAATATCTTTGTTTATTATTTTTCTTCTTTTTCTCCAGTTTTACTAATCCAGTCTGTCTCTGGCCTGTTTAATGCACGGACTCAGTACAGACACTGTGGCCGACCCCACCTCACCACCGACAGGCCAGGCAGAGAACCAATCTAAGGCAAAGACTCAACACACGTGCTCCAAACATCCCTGCTGACCAGTGGTAATGAGAATCCCCATCATCCAGAGGAAAGCTGGTCTAAGCCACGCTTTATACATCCGTCCTAAGTTAAAGCAATGGACTGGAAGCCACATCTTGGCACCCAGCCTCATTCTAGGACTCACTCCAGTGAACACTGGGTAGTTCACAGGTGACGTGAAGTAACACCAAGCACAGAAAAGACATATAGGACATGTTCTCCTGGTAGATACAGATAAACAAGTGAGGAATGCTCACTAATCCTTACACAGAAACTATCTCTTTTGATACCTTCAGCTTCTAGCTAGGATTTACTCTTCACCTTAATTTTCAGATAGTCTGGGCTGTTTAACGCATCATTCTCTCTTCTGAGCTGACAGCCTACCTTAGAATTTACCTCTTCAGAAAATGTCTTCTGACTAAATCTACCCAAATCTGATTATTACTTTATCCAGCACCTTAAAAAAATCCAATCTGCACTTTAAAAATGTCAGAGCTAAAAGGGATCTCGCACGCCATGCGGTGCAGTCGGCTCCTGGGAGAGGCAGCTCCATGACATGTGGGCACTAGAGGAGACACACTGGATCCAAGCCAGCACCAGCACGTACAGACTGTGTTGCTATGGGCAGTTTCCTAATCGGCCCCACTGAGCCTCACTTTTCTCATCTGTAACACAGTCCCTGGCGTTTAGTAAGAATTCAACAAATAGTAGCTACTTACTGTTAATGTTATTCAACTATGCCTTAGAAATGACCCCTTATAAAGGTAAATATGACTTGCCCCAAGTTAGTAACAGTAAGGCCGCTAAGGTGGTCTGAGCAGAGACTCTCACCATTCCTCTCCTGGACCACAACAATAACTCGCTAGATGGTCTCTATAACCACTGTTCAATTCATCTTCTACACTATAACCAAAATGGTCCCTTTTAGAAAACAAATTTGATTAAAATTCCCATGCTTAAAAATGTTCACTGCTTCCCAGTGTTCAAGGGACTGCACTGGAGTTCAAAGGACTCCAGTGTTCAAACGATGCAAACTCTTTAGCAGCTCATCAAGGGCCCTTCACAATTTGGCCCTAACCCGTCTTTTGAATGCTATCTCCACCCACCATCCCAAAGAATGCTATGCTTAAGCTGTTTACGACCTCTACCTTCCTCCAAAATTGCTGTGCTCTCTCACCCCTCTATGCCTTGGTCCTGGTTATCCCTCTGTCAAAAACATTCACTGTCTTCAACTGGACAGCATTCACTGTCTTCAACTGGACAGCTCCGTCACCCAGGACCCAGGCCAGCGTTCTGTCCATTGAAGCTTCCACAGCTCCTGCAGGCTCAGTCACTGCCCTAATCCACTGTTCTACACATGACTGCCTGACTCTCTACTGTTGCAGGGTAGGGGCTGCTTCTCTTTCATCTTTCTGTACACGTGGCCTCGTTCAGTACCCGTCATAGAGGCTGCTCACAAAATAGCTTGGGAATGAATGAGTGAATAAATTAACAAATGAAAAGATGGATGGTTAAATGAATTAACAAATAAAGAAACTAAGAGCTTCTAGCTCCCAGGTTGCTTCTCATTTCACTAAATCTGCCTTTGCTTGCATACTAATTGTTTTAGAAACAGATTAACACAGTTTTCACTCATGTATATGATGTCTCTTGAATTAGGCTGGAAACTTCTAAAGGTCACGTGCACCTTCTCACTATGCTTTTCACTCTCTCAGACCCAGATATATCAGGGTTTGATAAAGTTTCTGAATGCTCTCTTTTGCAACATACTTGCACAACAAGTATTTTCTTCCTTGTTATGAGGGAAGTTCCCGCAAAGGTTTTATTTCAAAGAGTGTTGTAATAAGATGTTATCCCAGTGCAGTCACAAAAAAGCAATAACCTCCTGACTTATTTTCTTGCTGACAGTAAAAGAAAAAACATTCAAGGTTCCATCTCTTTAGATGTTTAAATGAGTCTGTATTTTAGTGTTCAGGACCTTCAAAATATATATTATTTGCCTGTGTAAAACATGAAAATATGGGCTTTTTAAAGGGACATACCTACTACATTGAGCTTGAATCTACTCTCATAAGTGTTTAGAAAGTATTCAACCAAAGAGGTAGCTTCTAAGTATGAAACTTTCTTTTATTCCTGGTAACTGACAGAAGAGACAAAATTTGGCAAGAATATAAAGGCCAAGATTAAGGTCCTCCATAAACATGACAATAAGCACGTTCTCAGACATGCTATCACACACGCTATCTATTGAATCTAGATCAATCTAGATTGATTGATCAATCAATCGTTCTCAACCAAGAGGGACTGTGCCCTGCCAGGGGACACGTGATGACAGCTGAAGACATTTTGGTTATCACAACTGGGAGCTTGCGACTGGCATCTAGAGGATAAAAGCCAGGGATACTGATGGTTCTAAACATCCCACAATGCACAGAACAACACCCCCATAATAAAGGATTATCTGGCCCCAAAGGTCAATAGTGCCAACTGGGAAAGCATATGCCCTAGAATTATAGATTTCCTCATCACTGACACAAAACAGTAGAAGATGCGTTCACATTCCTAATTACTCTCCCCTCCCTGAAAAACCTAGAAGTAGGAGGAAATGAATTATGAAGATATTTTCATAGTTCAGTACAAGAGAGCATTTGGAAGGAAACAGGATAGGGAAAAACAGGGGGCATTTCAAGCAACTAAGTTCTTAGAAGGAAAACATATTTAAGACATTTTCATTTCCATTGTAGCAAATGTTAGCATCTGCAATGGGTTTTAACTATCCAGGCAGATGGATAATTGGAACTAAAGTCAGACTACAAAGCCTACACCCACTCCAGGAGGAAAATTTCCCAAGAGCTAAATGAGTTTTAGGTATAAGACTTTCAGTGGCTTTAATAAACATAATAACTCTCATGGAGGATTTTAAAGGGGATTAGAAAGTTGAAACATGATGCATCTCCAAAAAAGCTAACCATTACAATGGATATTTTAATAGCAATAGGCAAATGGGAATATTCTAATTTCAAAGGGACAATTCGGAGGAAGCATATTCATTGGACCTCATGACAGACATAACCAGATGAGGAAAGATACCCAGGGAAGTTTATTTTCCATAACCTCTACACCTATATTTGCATTGCAAAATAATCTTTACTAAAATGAATACTGGTTATCTGCTTCCAAATGGAGAGACAAAAACAAAACTGTTCAAACTAAATATTTTAAGAATATATATGGGTGCCAGGTTTTTTGAAAGGACCTTTTAGTGGAGGCTACGACAATTAGTTGAGACTTTGGCCAAACCATCTGTGAGTACTGCTGTCTTTCCTAATGTACAATTCTACAACAGCACAACACTGTTCTATATTCCTAAACATAGAGACCTCCAAACAAACTCCCCAGGGACAAATACTAACCACCAATCTGTGATAAAAATCTCTTCTTTTGCCTCTTCCATTGCATTCGCCACATCTTCAAAATATCCTTTGGCATTAACGTACCTGAAAGACAAGTTTTCTGTTTCATTTTTTTAACAAAACAAACAAACAAAAAGAGGAATCTATCGTATGGCAAAAGAGAAGATGGAAGCCACTGTCTAGAGTTTCTACAAAACCACCAGTTTACTTTGTATAACTGGAAACAAGGATTGAAAACAACACCTTCTGTCTGCTATGTAGGAAGTACAGGAAATAGACAGAAGTAGGCAACCTTATTCTTTTCTGCTGAGAGAATAACGAATTGATTGGTCTCGTCATCGTATGGGGTCAGATGAATTCTCCCATCCTGTTGAACTCACACACGGTTGTTCTTCTGAGACTGAAAGCAGACCAGCTTCTAATCCATGGGTAGAAAAGCATGCTAAGCAGGATTTCATTTAAAAGAATTACCTGGCAAGTAAATTCTCTTTCTTAAATTATGGCTAATGACTTAAATAAACTTTCCATTTGCATCATTAAGAAAACGTATGAAGTTAACTTTTAAAATCAAACTTCAAAATCTAAAGCTAGCTATCTAAAGCTCTCTGTAAAAAAACATAAAAGCAAAAAGTGGAAAACTAAGTGCTGCTCAGGCAGTCCTATAAAGAAAGGCCCTTGTTAAGTATAATGCATAATATCTTTTCACAGCTTCAAAAACTGATTCCAGGTGAATATAGACCACTACAATATTAAATGCTATGACTAGTGTGATAGTTTTAGAGCAAAAAGGTCTTACCATTTAGCTAAAGTGTTCTCTTGGAGAGCAGCATAAGACCCAAATCGATGATCTTTGAGAAAGTTGGGGCCATGTTTATGGATGAATTCTTCTATAGCCCCTCCCCACCACCGAGCATGTCTATAGCTGTTGCATTTTAAGATCAGTGTCCTTCAAAGAAAAGCAAGATGTGGAAAAGAATGGTCACTCTGTGTTCTGTCTCTTTAAACAATTTCAGAATTCAACATGTCCCATTTTGTTTTGTTACTGCAGCAAACGTAAGTGGAAAATTGTAGGCAAAGAGCACCTCACCTATATCAGAAAAGTAGATTTTTAAACGTTTTTGGCAGGATTTTAAACTGTATTCAACGTAGCGAAAACAAACCTTCAGGTTACTTATTGCCTCATTCACTTATGCAAACTTGTGTAAAGGCACTTATTACAGGCCTCGAGCTCGCTGTGCTAGACTGTGAGGTGGACAACGGAAGAGACATAAGGTGAGGTCCTACATCGAAGTGTTAGAGAGTTGTTGGCTCCTGTAGAGGACATTTCCCTTGGGACTGCCTGGTGTCCATTCGCTCAGCCTTCCTTCCCTACTCTGCATCCACCAAAGCCAACAAAATGGCATCTTCCAGCCCCGATCTCAAAGATTGGTTCAGGGATGTGGACATTAGCCAATTCCACCCAACAAGTGAGAATAAATGCAAGGACTTGCTCAGAAATGCCAAGAAGAGACTCTTT